GCAGCCGGAGCTGGATGAAGACGAGTCGGCGGAGGGCCGGCGCTGGGGTGCACAGCACGCCGGTGCCCGGGAGCTGGCGGCGCTCTACTCGCCAGGTAGGACGGGGCAGCGGGCCTGCGGGCTAATGGGTGCTCGGCGTGGGGCCCGCCCAGGATCGAACCCCAGGCGGTCCGAACGCCCAGACCCCATCCCATCGGATCCGAATTCCAGCTCATTTGAAGCTTCGAATTCGAACCCAAATCCATCCGGAGCCCACGGATTAGAACCTCAGCCTATTCAAGCCTCATCCTGACCTGAATCCTAACCCGTTCGAGAACCCCCGGATCCGAACCCCAGCCCACTGGAATTCCCGAGATACGAACTCCAACCCATTTGGACGCCCTTGGATCCGAACTCCATGCCATCCGAACCCTGCCCCCATCCCAACCCCAGCTTCCACCTTCAGAGCGGAACTCCAGGGCTTCCAACTAGCAAAGAGCACCTCCAGGTCTAGGGACCCCATCCAGACCCCTTCTTACCCACAGCCGTGAGGCATTGGGCTACAGAAACACCCCTAGGTCGAGGAACAGCCTCATTGCACCGGCACATTCGGAGTCATAGCCTCAGGGCACCTTGGGCAGGTTAGGAACCCCACCCTGACTTGAGTTGTGTCCCCAGGACCGTTTCCAAGGCTTCCGGTTCTCAGGCAGCCTAGCTTCAGACAGCTTCTCATTCACAGGCCCTGCCCTTAGCCACCTAAATTCTCACGACTTCCTAAGTCCCCCTCCGCTCCTCCTCCCACGTTGGTACCTCTGCACCTTGTGCGTTTTAGCTAGGGTCCTGGGTTGCAAACTGACCCGCCCCCCAATCAGGGATTATCAGCCCTTCAGTCCAGTTCCGAGACCCCTAATTTGGATCTCTGCAGAGTATGCCAGGAGCTCTTTCCCCCGAGCCCTATCATGGTCCTTGCTTCAGTAGCTGCGGTGAACTTTTCCCTTCCCACTCCCAATGAGACTGTCAGCCCTCGCCTCTTACTGGAAGATTTGGGGCAGTGACTGAGTCCCTATTGACTCTGCATCTGGCTCTGTCCTCTCCCACACCCACACACTAGCCTCTCAGGACTTTGTGGGATACCCCTGTTCCCCAGCCATTACCCTTGCCCTGGCTCTACCCCCTTCCTCAGGCCAGGCTCCCTCTCTGGTTTCTTTTCTTCTATGCTCTTACCCTAACAAGCTCTGGCTCCATCCTGTTCTCCAGCTCCCGGGAGCCTCAGGAATTTCACTGCCTGGCTGGGTGTCTCCAGGGGTTGGGGAAATGCCTGTGCACTCCAGAGTCAGATGACAGCCTGAGGCCCCTCTGCCAAGGTGTCTCCATGATTCGGCTTTGTTGTCCGACATTCTGACCTGGGTGGGGCTGAGACTACTTACTCTGTTGGCTTCCTGCCCTGGTCGGCATGGGTCTGATGCTTTTTCAACTATAAGTGGCATGTGACGTAGGGCCATTTGCTTTTTCTCTTTGGGTCCTAGGTCCCTAAGGGCTCTCCCAGCCTTGAGGTTCCAGTCTGTATTTATGGTTTTCCAGCTTGTCTTGGGTGGGTCCTTGGCCCACACGCAGCCAGCCAGCCTCGGGACCAGCTCTCCTTGAGGGAGTCTCCACAGCCTTGGTTCCTTTCCTTCTCACACAGGCACAAGTGAAATTTCTCTTCTTTCTGTGTCACTCACTGTAATGACACCCACTCTGTGGCACTAAGCCTTGTGTACAGTAGGCGGTCCCTATGATTCACCTGGCCCTTTGCCCTTCTCTGAGCCTGGAGCAAGCCTTGTCTTGCTGATCCTCAAGCCTCTAGCCTGAAGGATTCATAGTAGGGATTCATAGTGCCTAGGGCTGGACTGTCCCCACAGCCTACTTCCTACTGGCCCCAATTGTTTCCTCTTGCTTTTTCCTGGGGTCACCTCTCACCCTTCCTTCTTGATTCTGGATCATTCCCTGGCTACTGTTCTCAGAAGAATAGCTTTATACAGAGGTCCAGGCTTCAGACAGCATCTGGGGTCCCCAAACCTTCGGTTAAGGCCTTCTCTCCTGACCTAGAGAAAGGGAAAGACTGACCAAACTGGTTCCTCCAAGTTCTTCTCAGTAGGTCTCCCTGTCTGTCTCAGTCCACTGAACCCCGCGGCCTTAGAGAGGTACCTTGACCCTTTCGGACCTGACCTGTAAAATGAGAGACCGGGCTTGATGTGGATTGAACACCTACTGATATGTTTATTCCAGTCTCGGATCTCAGCCCCGAAGGCACAGCAGCAGGCAAGACTTGGGTTGGCATTTTGGATGGGGAGACAGGCAGTGAGTCCCACGTAAGGGGAGTAGGGTCCCGAGTGCTGTGAAGCAGAAGCATCAGGAAACATGTTAGGGACGGGGTAACTCAGAGAGCCCATAACAGACCTCACTGAAAGGACGGCCAAAGCAGGGAAGGGCAGGAGGGAAAGGACATTGAGCATGTGTGAGGTCCAGAGAAGGAGTGCAGAGGCCCCGAGGTGGGAGTGTGCCTGGCACAGCCGAGGAGCACAAGGAACCCGGGGGCCGGAGCAGAATGAGAAGTCCCTGGGTCCCAGAACTGAGTTCTTGAGATTCCTGGGGCTGAAGGTGGTTTGTCGTCATTTGTCACTGGGAGTATTTAGTTCACAAAGACGACTTTTATTGGAGACTGGCTTGTGCAGGCGTTTTCCCCACATGCTCTCATGTCCTGAACCCCAATCCTGTCTGGGGTTAGACTGCTACCACTACAGTAGAAGGGCTAGCAGGGGTAGGCCATGCTTCTTTGGCATCTGGCTTTTAGGGAACCTAGCCCCCTCCCCCCCAGGACCACTTTGTCCATGTCTGTGGAGAGCACAGGGTGGTAGCGCTGCCTGCCCCATGTGAGCTGCCCCAGCGCCAGGACAGAGATGAAGTGGCTGCGTCTCTTGTTTCCTGGTTTTCACCCTGGCTGCAGAAGTTATTCCAGGACAGTAGTAGATCCTGTTTGCGGTGTTGGTGGCAGGCACCTGGCCTAGTGCGTGTGGGGATCCCCTGAGCAGTATGACCAGGGTGGATGGGATAGAAGGGAGTGGTCAGGAGTTAGGCAGCAGTCGCCACGGCGCCTTGAGGGCTTGGTGCTCGGTGCGTGGGCTTAATCCCATGCTATGTTGCAGCCACAGAAGGCTTGTGCAGCGCTGCACTCTTGCTTTGGATTTCCCAGCAGTGAGCCAAAAGTCAGAGGTTGAAAGGAACCTGGTGAGCTTGGTGGAGCCTCCCTCCCACCTGCTTGGCCAAGATGGCAGCTCTCAGGTGCCTGCCACAACCTGCCGTGTGTGCCACTTCATAGGTGCCCCAGCTGGAAGGATGGCAGGGCCTAAAGAGTGTGGGATCCAACTGTCTACCAGCTTGGACAGTTGTGAGTGCCCTTTGCCATGGGAGTGCTTAGGACCCCAGGATAGTGGCCTGTCCTGAAGTTGGACCTGGCTTCACTCCAAAATGGGCCTGCCTGAAGCCATAGCACCAAGGCTTGGGGCCTCTGCGACTTCACTGGTCAGGCCTGGCCCCACTGCGCTGGGCTGAGCTCTCTCTGTCCCCGCTCAGTCTGTCTTTCTCCTCTGGGTCTTGTATCTTTATATGCCCCTGGATTCTGCTTTCTCATCCCATTTGTCCCCTGTGTCTGGTCCTGTCCTCTCTGTCCTTGTCTGCTCCTAGTGGTGCACACACAGGATCTCCTGATAGTCGGAGGCCGGCAGGAATGTAGGTTGTTAGAAGCAGGAAGGGGCAGGGGTGCTGAGTTTGCCCTGTGGAGTAGGTGTGCCCTCTGCCTCTTCCGGGCTTCATCCCCACCTCATACAGGCACGCAGGCCAGCATGCAGGCACCCAGGCAACAGTTACTGTTGCCTCTTGGCCAAGATTCTCTGAGCATACCACTCTAGTCCAGGAATAGACTTTCGGTGGAGGTTGGAACACCTGAGTCCTGAGTAAAGCCCCAACTAGGGCCTCCTCAACTCCCTAGCCTGCCTATTGGTAAAATTGGCTGTTTTGTGGGCCTGCCGGACTGATGACCTAGGCTATGACTTTAGACAATTATGTGGCCTCCCTGGCACTGGGAGTCTGTCCTGGCTTGCACAGGGATGGCATGAGGTGCCGGCAGTTTGTTGACATGTCATTCACACTTTTGTGGATCAGAACCGAGGTCGGTCTGCAGCCAGACCCAGGTCTGAAGGGAGATAAGTTAAGGGGAAATACTCAGATTTCAGGACCAATCTGCCCAACAAGGTGAGAACTGAGCCAGCTCAGGAACCGAGACAGCCCAGACCTAACAGTTTCCAGGCCTACATCCAACTCTGTACCTCAGTTTCCTTGGCTGGGTCTCAGTTAGGGTTCCACAGAGGCTAGCCAGACAGCTCTGAAAGCAACTGGGGAACCTGGAACCCGTAACGGGAGGGGCAGCCCTGTGTTCTCAGGGCTGACAAGAACTAGGATGTATGTGGTTTTAAGTTTAGATCACATTTTCAAAAATAAGAGGAAACCTGGCCAGAAGATCCTGATTGCAACCACACCTGGTTCCCATCAGTGAGCACCAGCCTGTCATCATTATCGCCATTGTTTTAGTCTAATCTTTGACTGTGACGCTGCCCAGTTTTCATCCTTCAATCCTTACAGGAAACCAAGCAGGTTGGCAGGGAGAGTCACCTGTCTGTTGTCTCCTCCTCTGTCCTGTTCCCTCACCCCTGGGCTTCCTGCCCTGGGCCCTACCCACAAACAGGAACCGGAAGAGGAAGGAAGGCCGTGGCTCTACGCAGGGCTCAGAAATAGCACAGTTGAGAAGGACTGGAAGCCCCAGGCCTGGATCTGTTGCTGAGATTTCTGGGGGTCTTGCCCTTCCTTGCCCTTGGTGTCCTCTTCTGTATATGGGCAAAAGGCATGTGACCCTTGAGTTCCCCTCCCCCGATGTCAGCCTTTTCTGGGGGCAGCTGCTTTAATTTAAGCTCTGGCTCCGGCAGTCAGGAGTAGCCATGGACACAGATGGAGCCTAATCTTTGCCTGTGTAGTGCTAAGCGTCGGACTTGGAGACATGGTCTACGGTTTGCAATTAGACTTTGCTTGTTCAACAAGCGTTTATTGAACACCAACTGAGTGCTGGGGCCCTAGTGAAGGAACTTGAGGTAGCCTGAGTTCACATTCAGGTAGCCCTGGAGGCTGGAGGGGTGAGAATGTCAGGATCACAGAGCAAGAGGAGGCAGGGTATCGAGATTTCTAGACTGGTCTACAGGGGCAGAGAGGGAGGGGCAGCAGACCCGGCTTGGGCCTTCATTAACCCTGTACAGGAGTCTTCATCAGGACAGTGGTGTCCTAGAGAATAAGAGAACACAGGGCAGGGGCTGGTTAAAGGGAGACCACAGCACTCAGGCTGGCGTGCTGAGTGACCTTGGGCTGTCTCGGCAACTTCCCTGACCCTCCATCTTTTTGTTCACACATCTGGGTCCCTGGATCTTGATAATTGCTTGGTCAGTGCTAAGCACCGATGGTAAAAGCACCAAAGGTAATCTCGCTGTCAACACAAGGGTCTCCAGCCTCTGGGGCCAGCTGCCTGGGAAACAGGCATAAGGCTTGCCACTCACATGGTGTTTTTACTTCTTTTTTAAAAAAAAAAAAATTTTTTTTTTAATTAGTTGTCAAAAGAAAATAACTCAGTGTGGTTTATCTGAAGGAGTGTGTGGCGAGGCGGTCTCGGTGCTCTGGAGTCTTACATTTATTTATTTAGTGTGTACAAGCACGTGTGCCACAGTGAGTGTGTTGTAAAGGTCAGAGGACAGCTTGTGGAGTTGGTTCTCCCCATCATTATGTGGGTACCAGGGATTGAATTTAGGTCATCGGGCTTGGCAGCAAGCGCCTTTACCTACTGAACCATCTTGCTAGTTCCTCTTTATGTTTTTATGTGATGCCAAACATAAGCCTAGGACCTCAGACATCCTAGCGCTCGGCTCCTGAGCGACGCGCCCATCTCTCATGTTTTCTTCTTTTAAAAACTTCTATAGATCAGGAGGTAATAGCGCACACCTGTAATCCCAACACTCAAGAGGCAGAGTCAGGCTGATCTTCTTTGTGAGTTCAATGCCAGCCTGGTCTACAGAGCAAGTTCCAGGACTACAGAGAGAAACCCCGTCTCGAAAAACTGAAAATAAAATAAAATGCAAACTTTTTGCACATATTTCCTTCTTATTTATTGTGTGTGCCTTGTAGTACATGCTGTGGTGGTCGGAGGGTGACTTTCAGTGGTCAGTTCTCTCCTGTCACGTGTGCCCGATCTCAGGTGACCACACTTGGTGGCAAGCTCACCAGCCACTCTTCTTATTGACCCCATCATCAGCACATTGCTCTCTGTGGCACCTGGGCATCACAGAGGCCATGAATGGGGCAAGTCTGGCTCATCCCCAGGCCGTGGGTTCTTCGGTGCTGTCCAGAGTTTTGACATCTCCACCAAAGCCACAAGGAACGACAAGCTTGTCTAAACTTGCGAGTCTCTGAACTGTGATTGCATTTAAAGTTCACACCCAGATCCTCGGGTCTGTACCTTCTCCGTCACCTGCTGCAGCCTTCTCAGGTGGGAAGGGTCACGCTCCTGCCTGGCTGCCGCCATCCAGGTGCCAACCCTGGAACCCTGGGGCCTGATGTCCCCAACACGCATTCTCTGACCCGGTACCCTGTTCTTCTTTGACCCTGAGGCTGATGACCTATGTCTTGCTTCATGGAAGCTGGGCGGGCTCTGAGCATCCCTGACTGAGGGATCAGAGGTTGGTCATGGCCTCCACCTTCAGATAGTCACTGACCCGGAAACAGATGGTGCCAGGAAACTTCAGTTAAAATGCAAGGAGATCATTCAAGTTCCTAAAGGGTTTTCCAGAAAACCTGGTCCTGTCTATAAAGAGTTGACGCTTGCAGGCCCAGCCTCGACCATGGACCCTGTGCCCAGTGTCCTGCTTTTGCAAAAGCCCTTTTTCTGGACCTTAGTGGTGCTGTCTGTGAAATGGGTGGGTGGGAGTGTTTGGCACAGTGTGCTTCGACACCAATGAGGCTCCCCACAGCCGTCGCCTCCCTCGGTTCCCTCCTCTCCCCACAGGCAAGCGTCTCCAGGAGTGGTGCTCTGTGATCCTCTGCTTCAGCCTCATCGCCCACAACTTGGTTCACCTCCTGCTGCTGGCCCGCTGGGAGCACACGCCCCTCGTCATCCTGGGTGTTGGTGAGTGCCAGGGGCCTTTGCGCAAATGAGTGCGTGTGTGTGTGTGTGTGTGTGTGTGTGTGTGTGTGTGTGTGCACTGAGTGCTCAGGGTGGTCTTGTATCAAGGACAAGCTATGGGAGTCCCCACCTGCTCTTAGAGGTGACGATAGCCGTTCCATTTCACAACCCCAGCCCCAGCATTCCCTACCTATATTGTTCAGTCACCCTGGCCATACACTCTCAACATCCCCCTCCCCCACCGTCCCCAGTTACCTCAGGACCCTTGTTTGTACAAGCTGCTCGCTGTGCCTGGAACCCTTCTCCGGACCCCACACATTTAACCCCCAAGGTCTACCAAGAGGCCACATGCTTAGGCCCTCTGTGATGGCCCCTCAAAAAGCAGCCCTGACTGAGTGCGGTGGTGCAGGCCTTTAATCTCAATACATGATAGGCTGGGGAAGAGCTCTGGGGATCCAGGCCAGCCAGGGTTACACAGTGAGACCCTGCTCAGAAGTCAGAGTGTGTTTTCTGCTGCATCCCCGACCTCAGGCACAAGGTCTGGTACGTGGCAGGTGCCCAGAATTCAGAGAGTGGGGATAGTGAGCGTGGAATGAGGCACTGTGTGCTGGAAGTCCTGGGTGTTCCCCTGGCCAGGCGTGGGGGCTGACACTCTCCCTCCTGATGAGAAACTGGAGGCTCAGAGGAGGGACCACGAAGTATCTGTAATGTCCTTCTGCTGCAGTGTCCAGCTGCATCCCTAGTTCCGACTGACTCAGTGTCCTTCCTTTCCAGTCTTCTGCCCTCTGGCTCAGTGTGTGTCCTCTTCCTTTGCTGAACTCTGGGGCTGGCCAAGGGGCCATGGTACCCTTGGTCCTTCCTGGCCCTCCCTGTAGTTTTGATTCTACAATCTCATTGTAAGCAGTCTGGCTTCCTTAGCCAGTAGTGTACAGGCCCACTAATCAAGCCATCGCTCCGTCTGGGGCAGAGCAGTACCGGGGAGAGCTTAGCCCTCTCTGTGCTGGGGAGCTCAGGCCCCATCTGCAGGAGTCCCCTAACCCCAGAGTTGGTTGGCTACAACCTTGGCTGGGCTGACTACAGCAGGTATCATGAACTTTGAGGCTGTGGCACTGTGGCCTCCTGGGATTGTAGGGAAGCCAGGAGGATTCAGCTGTGCTGAGAGGGCTACTGCCTGGGAAGAGGTGGGGAGGCAACACTGCCTGCTAAACCACTGACCAAGGCTGCCTCAGCCACTGCTGGGTTGACAGTAGATATTCTGTAAGCACCTGAGTTGGCCACTTTCCTGGTAGCTGTTGCCACCATTCCTAGTAGCAATATTGCACAGAGGATTCCAGCATTGGCCTCTGCCCACTGGCCGTCACCTAGACTCTAGCCACACCCTGACTAAGACACCCTGTATGAGGTAGGCCTGGCTGTGTGTTGTCAGGCAGGTCACTTGCCTCCTCTTCCCTGCTTGGGACCTGGGTTCCACAACTCCTGGCCCCATCTTCACACCCAATGTGGCCAGCTCTCCCATTGCACCGGCTTCTGGGTCTGATAAGGGTGAGTAATCCCCTGATAGTGGTGTTTGCACAATCCTCAATCGATTTAAATAGCCGCCCTGATTTGTCTGTTAACACGCGGGTAGCTGCCGAGGGCACTGTGCCAGCTTGTTCCTGTCTCTTCAGCGGTTCCCAATGCCCCAGGCAGCCCTGGGAATCAGAACCCAAACTGAAAGGCTTTCAGTTGGTGAAGCCGGCCTTTTGTGGTGCAGTGCCTGAGAGCTGACCAAGATAAGGTCATGGTTGCTTCTACAGCCTGAGGGAAGGAGAGGCAAGAGGAAGCCTGCGTCTGAGGTAGAACAGCAAGTGCAAGGGTCCTGAGGCCAGTGTGAACCAAAGAGGCCTGGGGGCAGGTCACTGAGGTGGTTGGGCGAGTGGTACAGGACCTTGGGAGCCATGGTCTGGATGGTGAGTTTGTCTTGAGTGCTATGGGCAGTTGCTGGTAAATTTCCCATGGGGAGAGGATTTCTGATGCTGGAGCCAAGGAGCAGATGGCGGTGGGTTTCCTAAACTCAGAGGAGTTGTGCAGTTGAGTTATATGCACAGTCAGGCTGCTGTGCAGTGAGTGGTGAGGCCAGGGATGAATTCTAGGTTCAGTCCAAGACATGAGCGGGTGGCAGAGGAGAAACAAGAGTAGCCTGGGGGGAGACCTTAGCTGGAGAGCGGAAGTGGGTACAGGGTAGAGCCAGGGGCATGGGAGAACTGAGAGGTAGCAGGCTCAGAGAAGGCCACCACCAGAGGCAGCAGTGTTCCAGCCTAACGGAGCAGCAGAGGGACACTGTGGCTGTGACAAGGACAGTGGGAGGGGACTGAAGGTAAACTGTTCTTCTCCTGGGGAGAGCACAGCATGCTGGGAGCACAGCACGTGGAAGGAGCTGCTTGGTGGTGGAGAAGGGCACACACAGGTCAGTACTGAGGTCAGGAGGTCACGCTGCTAAGCCTTCTGGATTTAACTGAACCTAGATGATATAGACGTTCAGGGTCTGTCTGCCTAGTCTGTTGGTCTCACCTCCACCCAGCCTTCACGCTGTCACTGGATAGAGCCATCCTTGTGCCCTTCCCAGTGTCTCCAGGGAAGGGTGATGACCAGGCTGAAGCTGCTCCCTGGGCGAGCGAGCCGCCAGCCACCACCAGGGCTGGAACAAAGAGACTTCTGTATGCCTGTGTTTGCCACCCTGCCCCCATTAAAGGGGCCTCATGGGCAACTGAGTGGCCTGGAATGGGTGCCCTAGAAACAGCTCCCCGGCCCCAGGAATTGAGAGCCATTTCCTCCCTCACAGGGTGGGAAGGGATACTCTTACCCTGATTGTTTCTGACACCAGTCCAGAGCATGTCCCCTCGTCCGACAGATGAAAACACGTGCTCACACAGGGAGGAGGGCTCAGGCTACAGCGAGCTTGTGGCGAAGCCCAGTGCTCTGCACCCTTGCACCTGTTTGGCTAGCTTAGTTAAGGGACATGAGTCCTGTGTGCTACCATTTCCCAGACCTGGTTGTGAGGTTAAGTGTGACCTCTTGCCCCCTCCCCGGGTGACCTTGGACAGTCCATCCCTGCCAGCTTCAGCCTCTGTCATCCTCTGGCAGGTTGGGTGTGATGGCGCCTATCACTGAACATGAGTGGATATTATCCTGTTTTAGTAGATGGTTCTCTTTGCTTTTGTGACAGGGTCACATAGCCCAGGCTGGACCTTGAACTTCTGATCTCCCTGCTTTCCCTTCAGAGTTCTGACATTAATTGGTGACTGCTTCTACGGTATTAGGATCAACCCATGGGAATCCAGGGCTTCTTGCATGTGAGATACATATGCTGCCAGCTGAGCTACAGCCGGCAGTCAGTTAGATAACGGGAGCCCTTGTGCCCATTAGCACCCAGTGGGACTGCTTTGTGCCTGTGCTCTACCTGTGATCGCAGTGATCGTGTGCCTGTAGCTTCTTAGCCAGTGTCCCTTTCCTATCCCAGGGCCCATCTAAAGCTACCAAAGTCTGGTTACTTGTCACAGCCCTAATTTAGGACCATTGTGCTGTGGTAGTTTCTTCGCCATAACCCAGCCTAGCTTTGACGTCACTGTGTAGCCCAGGCTGGATTTGAACTCCCGGTCCTCCAGCCCAAGCCTCCTGCATGCTAGGGTTCCAGAGGTGCACCACTACACCTCTTGCTTTACTTTTAGCGGGGGTGGAACGCCGGCCTTTGAACATGCTGGGCAAGAGGCCTGCCTTCCCCTGACTCTGCACCAACCATCTTGGCTGACTCAGAGTGACCTAGGGTGACTCATGGTCTGAGACGGCAGGGCTCTCGTGGGTCACTTTAGCATCAGCGTGGCTCGCCACTGTGAGGTTACTTTGCCCTGCTCGAGGGGGACACCTTCTGGGTTCCCATGTCACTCTTTCCCCTTTCGGGGAGGTAGCGTCACAGCCCGGACTCAAGTCCCGGTGAGGCCCACACAATGCTCATTGCCTTGTCAGATCTGGTTATGAGAGACACTTCCAAAGGCCACCCCGTCCTGACTTTCTCCTCACTGCTCTGTCACGTTTTGACCACAGAGGATTTAACTGCCAAGGACAGTTAAGGGGAAGGAGCTTAACCACTAAGGGGACTTGGCCTTGGCCAGCAGGGATTAACAGAGGGGAACGTGGAAGTCTGTGGTGTGCCCTGTGTCAGCCACAAAAAAGAAAGGCAAAGGAGGCAAAAGTCATTTTTGAGATGTCATGCTTAATTTTAATCCCAGCACTTAGGAGGCAGAGACAGGAGGATTTCTGAGTTTGAAGCCAGGTTGGTCTACTTAATAAGTTCTAGGCTAGCCAAGTAGTGAGACCCTGTCTTGAAAAGAAAAAAAAGTATCCAGTGGTGGCACACGCCTTTAATTCCAGCTCTCAGGAGGCAGAGGCAGGCAGATCTCTATGAGTTCGAGGACAGCCAGGGCTACACAGAGAAACCCTGTCTTGAAAAACGTTAAACAAAGAAAGAGGGATGGATGACTCAGCCGTTAAAGGCTAGGCTCACAACCAAAAATATAAGAAAGAAAAGTGTCAGGCTGGGCGGTGGGGGCGCACGCCTTTAATCCCAGCAATCGGGAGGCAGAGGCAGGCGGATCTCTGTGAGTTCGAGACCAGCCTGGTCTAAAAGAACTAGCTCCAGGACAGGCTACAAAACTACAGAGAAACCCTGTCTCAAAAAACTAAAGGAAAAAGTCTAGAAGCTGGATAGATGGCTCAGTGGATAAAGTAAGTGCTTGGTGAACAAGTGTGAGGATCAGAGTTCAAATCTTAGCACTCATATTAAAAAAACTCCAAGCGGTATACCAGCCTGCCTATATTCTCAGCCCTTAGGAAGTGGAAGCGGGATCCCCAGAGCAAGATGACTTGCTAGACTAGCCAGAGTTGTGAGCTTTGTATTCAGCCAGAGGTCCAGCCGTGGTAAGTAGAGAGCCGTGTAGGACTGCGGTGCCGGTGCCTGTCTGGATGTGATTGCTAGCTGTCATCCTCACAATCACAATGTCCCTGCCGTCTTCAGCTAAAGGAATGAGGGACTCTGAGCACACAGTCTTCTCCATGAATGAGCATGCAGCTAGAGCTCAGTAGTAGTCCAGGGGAGGGCTCTGCATTCACCCAGATGAGGGGACAGTACTCAGCAGCAAAAAGGGAAATGGTCAATGCACGTGACACATGAATGACTCCAGATGAGCTATTCCAGCCAAGCAAGTGAAACCCGAAATACTTGCAAACAAGCTGCTGCGGAATACCAACCCCCAACCCCCGTGCGCTGACACACATTGCTGTGACTGCCCTGTAATGCTGACAGAGTTGAGCCATAGCAACAGAGACTGTAGTTGCAGGACCTGCCAGCCTTCATGTGTAGCTCTGTATAGAAAGTTTGCCTACCCCTTAGACTCCACATGGAGCAGAGTCCACGTAGGGACCTGTATGGTCAGAGGTGCATCCTCGTGAGGAGGCCTTGAACCACATAGGCCTGCACCGCAGTGTGTGCAGATTGGTGCAATTAGAACCAGATGTGAGCCACAGCTGGGGAGGAAAGTTGTTGCATCCGCACTCTGATGCCCACATCCAGGACAAGAAGCCTGTGCTCTGGCTCCCTACCATGCCACACCCACAAGCAGCCAGTGTTCTCCACACCCGTTTGTCCTGCAGGCAGTGTTTACATCTTTCATTGACTAATGACACTGGGACACTGAGACTCCATAGTTGTTCTCACGAAGCAAGTAAGGATGCTGAGCCCAGAGGAGGCAAGGGGAACAGCAAAGTGGTTAGATGTAGGACCCCCAACATTCCCTTGCTCAGAGGTAATTTATCTATACCATTTGTGGTGGTTTGAATAAAAATGGCCCCCATAGGTCCATAAGGAGTGGCACTTTTAGGGAGGTGTGGTCTTGTTGGAGTAGGTGTGTCACTAGGGGGGTGGGCTTTGATGTCTCAAATGGTTACACTATGCTATGCCCAGTGTGGCAGTCTCTTCCTGTTGCCTGTGGATCCAGATGTAGAATGTTCATCTACCTCTCCAGCCCCAAGTCCAGCACCCGCATGCTACCATGCTTCCTGCCATGATGGTAATGGACTAAGCCAGCCAATGAAATGTTTTCCTATGTAAGAGTTGCCGTGGTCATGGTGTCTCATTACAGCAATACAAAACCTTAACTAGGCCGGGTGGTGGTGGCCCATGTCTTTAATCCCAGCACTCAGGAAGCAGAGACAGACAGATCTCTGTGAGTTTGTGGCCAGCCTGGTCTACAGAGTGAGTTCCAGGACAAAGGCTACACAGAGAAAAGAAAACCTGTCTCAAAAAAACAGAGAGAGAGAGAGAGAGAAGAAAACCTTAACTAAAACAGAAATTGGTGCCAGGGACTTGGGTGTTACTGTGATAGGCCAGAACATGTTTTTGTTTGGAGGACTGTGGACTTTGGGACTTTAGGTTAGGAAAGCAGTGGAATGCTTTAAGTGCTGCTTAATAGGCCATGCTAGTAGGGGCATGGAAGACAGTGATGCTGAAGATTATTTGAACTATGAGGACCTGGACTGAGAGGTTTTAGAGAAGAATGTTAGCATGTGGCCTAGAGACCATTTTGTGATATTTTAGTGAAGAATGTGGCTGCTTTTTGCCATTATCTGAAAAATCTGCCTTAGGCTAAAGTGAAGAGTTTTGGATTAATTGCATTGGCAGGGGAAATCTCAAAACAGCCTAGTCTAGAATCTGGTGTGGTTATTAGTGATAACTCTAATGAGGATTTATAATGAAACAAAAGGAACAAGATAAGCAAGAACCCCAGAAGATGGAATGGAGCTAAGTCCTGTGCTCAAGTCGTTAAACAGATTAAAGAAAAACCTGCTGTTAAATAAAGTGAATGGTGACTCAGGATAAGACCCCACCAAGCTAAGCTTCCACTTGTGAAAAGAAACTAAAGAAAAGCTTAGGGCTGGGTAGATGACTTCTATCCCACGACTCTGGCAGCAGAGGCATGTGGATGAGTCTCTGGTCTACAAAGCAAGTTCAAGGACAGCCAAACTTAGGCAGTGAAGGAAACCATTGAAAACAGAAAGCTGTGAAGATGTGATCCAACAAGGGAATCAACAAGAGAACCATGTTCCAGTCCCAGCAAGCTGCAGAGCTTGGTAGTTTCAGCCACATGGTTCTGGCTTTAGAGTCAAGGATACAAGAAGGTGGTTATGGAGTCTTTCTGTGAGACTGAGGAAAGCCGCTGAGGCCAGGCATGTGTCAGGGGTGTCCCCGAATGGAGGCCCAGAGAAGCTATTGTGTGAAGTTGTAAAGGTGAAACCTGGATTGCCTTGGAGACCCCAAGATGTTGGAGATGCCAGAGCTGTGGGATCCCTGCCGAGGAGAGCTGCTAACAGGGCCTGGAACCAGCCCGAGAGAGAGAAGTGTGCTGCAGTCAGCAGAGCTGAAAGGAGTTGGAGTGTGAAGAGCACTTTGAAGTCAGACATAGAGATGCAGAGTTTGGAGTTTGCCCTGCTGGTTTTGCTTTGGTTTTGTTTTTTTTTTTGTTTGTTTTTTTTTTTGTTTTTTTTTGTTTTTTTTTTAAATTTATTTATTATGTATATAGTGTTCTGAGCACCAGATCTCATTACAGATGGGTGTGAGTCATCATGTGGTTGCTGGGAATTGAACTCAGGACCTCCGGAACAGCAGTCAGTTCTCTTAGCCTCTGAGCCATCTCTCCAGCCCTTTGCTTTGGTTTTGACCTGCTGGTTTTTGAGCTTGCTTTGGTCCAGTATTTCCTCACTGTGTTCCTTTCCAACCCTTTTGGAATAGTGATGTGTATTCTGTGTATAGGTTGGAAGTGTGTGACCTGCTTTCTCATTTTGATTACAGAGGATTACCGTTAGAAGATTAGAGATTGCATAAATATCAGAAGAGACTTTGGATTTCTTTTTATATTTTCCCTTCCTTCCTTCTTTCCTTCCTTCCTTCCTTTCCTTATTTCTTTATTTCTTTATTTTTGTTTTCCGAGACAGGCTTCCTCTATAGCTTTGGAGCCTGCCTGAACTAGAACTCGCATTGTAGACCAAGCTGACCTCGAACTCAAGAGATCTACCTGCCTCTGCCTGCTGGGATTAAAGTCATGTGCCAAACTTTGTACTTTTAAACAGGGTTGAGACTGTTATAGACTATGGGGACTTTCAAACTTGGACTAAATGCATTTTGCATTATGCTGCTGTTACAAGCTTATGGGTAGTCAGGGGGTGGAATATGGTGATTTGAATAAAACTGGCCTCAGACACACAGTTCACACTGAGAAACTGAGTACAGGGCGGCAGAGGGCACAAGCCTGCCCAGACCCACATTCCCAGCTGGGCAGTGGGTCAGTGTAGCTGTGGCTGTTGAGCTTGGCACACAGTGGGTTCTCCAAGAATGTCTCAGGAGACTGTGTATGAATCCATAGCGTGTACCTCAGCCAAAGTGCTGTACCTCTTGCGCCCTTGAGCCCTTTGATGTCACAGAACCAAGATCCAGTCCCAAAAGAGAGCCCAGAACTGACAGAAAAAAGTGGCAGAGAACGGGTGTGCTTGGAGGACGTAATGAGAGTGGATGGGAGAGGTGGATGGAGAGTAAGGTGGTGGGAGCCTCGGAGTTAGTGTGAGCCTTGGGGTGGGGTGGGAGGAACCCTAAGCAGCAGAGAGCTGCTGCACTGCAGCCTAGGAAAGGTAGGTGTTCCAGGCAGAGCAGGACAATGAGGGGAAGGCTCAGAGGACCAGATGCTGCAGGGAGTGAGGGGAGAGTGGGGGACACTGGTTACTCCGCCTCGGTTTCTCCATATGTACGTGGATCCTGCTATGCCAGGTTTGGATCTCAGGCAGGCTAAGAACTGGACCACTTGTGTGTGTTCGTCTGGGACCCATTTCTTCTCCAGCTCATGCGTGACACACGGCTCATGTGTGTGATGGAGGTGGGAGTGTGGTACAGATTTGAGGTCTGCGATGACTGTTGAGCTCACCAGAGTACCCCAGGCTAGTTCCGAGCAGATGGAGAGCAAAGGAAAATCCCAAAGGATTGAATCTGTTACAGCGAGGTCGAGGAAGTGGGATGGACACTTGTTTGCCGATGTAGTCCAGGCTAGCCTCAAACTCTGGATCCTCCTGCCTCAGCCTCCCGAGTGCTGGGATTCTAGGCAGCTCAGCTGGTGCCCTTCCTAACACAAGACCAGGAAGGCAGCTGTGCAGCCTCACCACAACAGAGTGGGCTTCGCTCTGTGGGCTGCCATGGGTGGGGCGAAGGACCCACCTCTCCTACCGCAATGCATTTACTCTGTGCAGACCAGGGTGGAAATGTTACCTTGAGCCTCTGTCCGCTGGGAAGGAGCATGGATGCTTCCCTCCCATATAAATGAATGAGTGAGCAAGTGACCAAGTGAGTGAAAGAATGGCCTCGGGTGGGCGGGTCCAGGATGTCTCCGCAGGTCCCTGCCCTGGCTTAACTCTTGTTGCCCACAGTTGCAGGAGCTCTCATTGCTGACTTCCTGTCCGGCCTGGTACATTGGGGTGCCGATACATGGGGCTCTGTGGATCTGCCCATTGTGGGGAAGGTGCGTATGCCAGGCAGTGTGTCTGTGAGTTAATCCCCTTTCCCCTCGGAGCCTGCTAACCTGACCTCGTTCCTCCTGCCCTCTTAGGCTGTCTGAGGATCCATGTGGTTGGTGGCCCCATAGAGAGTGTCAGGGAGTCTGCCCCGAGCCACGATCTGGCTTATTCTCCTATGTTCAGACTTTTTAAATAATTTATTTCTTCTTACTTTATCTACATTGGTGTTTGGCCTGCATGTATATCTGTGTGAGGGTGTCAGAGCTTGGAGTCACAGACAGTTGTTAGCTGCCATATGGGTGCTGGGAATTGAACCCGGGTCCTCTGGAAGAGCAGTCAGTGCTCTTAACCACTGAGCCACCTCTCCAGCCCCACTATGTTCAGACTTTAAGCTGTCACTCGGGCTATCTGGGTTATGACCCAAAAAAAAAAAAAAAACTGAATCCAAACTGGTTTCCTCAGGCCAGGGTTCTTACTCACATCAGTGCCAAATTAAAGCCCCGCTGAGCCAGGGCGACCACCTTTTCAGATTGAGTTTTCCCCATCTCTGGCTTCTGCTTTCCCCTGCTGATCTGAGGCCTCCACTACTGGCTGCCTAGAGAATTCTTTCCCCAAGTGGCAGCCAAACTCCCAGAACTTGATCCCATTGGTCCAACTGTCCACCCTGCAGCCAATCGCTGCTGGGGAGATGGATGCACTCTGGTTAGCCTTGCCTGGGTCCGTGCTCACTCAAGGCAGGCTCCATTTAGCAGCAGCATCTGAGAGACAGAAGGCTGCTTCCAGAAGCAGGGGCTTGAGCGCCAGGTCGACAGGGTCCCCTTTGTTTATGTGGGGCCTCTCCCCCTGCTTCAGGGAGGTTGTTGTCTCCAAGGCCCTCACTGTGTGGGTGGGGAGACAGGGGCCCAGAGGATTGGGGAAGGTCCCCACCAGTGTTACCGTCTTGCTCGACAGCCTGCCAGACCGTGGCCCAGGCAGGGTCTGTGTCCTTAAGAGGCTCTGGGGTGGGAGGCGGAACAGAGCCCAGCAGCAAGTTTGGAGTCTGCAGGGCACCAATTGCCTTTGACTGACCAGGAGACAATACCTATACCCTCTCCACCCCAGGCCTTCATCAGGCCATTCCGGGAGCACCACATTGACCCCACAGCCATCACGAGGCATGACTTCATTGAGACCAATGGTGACAACTGCCTGGTGACGCTTCTGCCACTGATGAACATGGCCTACAAGTTCCGAACCCAGAGCCCAGGTGAGACCTGCAGCCGGGCCTCCTCAGAGGAAGTAGCCTCCAGGGCATGTGTGGGACATTCGTGTCATTTAAAGTATTCTCCATTAGTAGGGTGCATTTAGCATAAGACCCAATTCCCAGCTTCTCAGAGCACTCTCTGGTAACGTGGCCCCCCCCCCAGTGTCCTTCCCACCTCCTCCATGGAGCTGCTCGGTTGGTACATTCCCCGTGAGTTGCTGCGAGCCCACCACCCCTTGTTCTGTGGTATTATTAAAGGGAAGTTTGTACTGTGAGGCCTGGGGTGAAACCTAGTAGCTGAGAGTTAGTCTGCCATGCCCAGATGCCAGGTTCAATCCTGGCACTGAAATGAAAAGCCAAAAGTAGGGACTGGGAGTTGAGGCCAAGCCATGCCCATTTCTGAAGGAATCCCAAAGCTGGCCAGCTTGGTACTGGGCACCAGGAGAGGTAAGGCCACATCTGTCTGATAGTTGCTGGTACCTTACTTTGAGAGTAACAGAGGGACTGTCCACGGGTGGAGTGGGGGTGCTCTCAGACACCAACCGTGCTGACAGTCTCCCAGCAGCCCCTTCTCCAGAGATCCACCTCCTGCCTCCCCCGTCCCATGAGCCAGAAGCCAGCAAGGGAAGGCCTTCAGCTTTGCTTCTTTCTAAAGTGAACTCAGGAGCTGTTGACTCCCAAGAAACCCACAGGGCCCAAAAGAGGCACAATCCCTGTTGTCCCAGACTTACTCCGAGATGTCCTCGGGTCTTACTTCAGGGAACCTGACCCAGAGCCCTGCCCAAGCTCAGGCAACCCACGATGTCAGCAGGAACCAGACCAGCCCCCGCTGGTTGCACAGCCCACACTCCTAGCCAGTCCCTGCGCTGCCTCCAAATCTGGAAGACTTCACGGTGGAGGCTGAGGGGGGGTCTGGGTGCCACCTGGTACAGGAGCTGGCTGGACGGTGGGGCAGTTGTCCCATGCCCGTCGTGCCCTTACCCTGCAGAGACCCTGGAGCAGCTGTACCCCTGGGAATGCTTCGTCTTCTGCCTGACCATCTTTGGCACCTTCACCAACCAGATCCACAAATGGTCACATACATATTTGGGGCTGCCCTGCTGGGTCACCGTCCTGCAGGACTGGCACGTGATCCTGCCACGGAAACACCATCGCATCCACCACGTGGCACCCCATGAGACATACTTCTGTATCACCACAGGTGCGTGGTACCATTCCCAGAGTCAGGAGGGTGGGGACTTGTAGCCTTGGCCTAACCCGTGTTCTCAGCGTGCTCATTTATTGAGCACCTGCTGTGTCCCAGGTGCTCTTCTAGGTGCTGAAGACAGGTGCTGAGGACAGGATTGTGAGCACGCCAAAGCCCCTTCCGTACTTCCAGCTGTGGTGACTCCAGATACTCGCTCAGCCAGCAGACAATTGGCTTGGGGCCTAGTTACTGCCCTGGGCTTAGGATCTAACAACCATGCCTTTGCAAGTGCTGGGTGGAATGGCACGCACCTTTAATCCCACCCAGCACAGGGGCAGGTGGATCTCAGATTTTGAGGCCTTCCTGGTCTACATAGTGAGTTCCAGATCATCCATGGCTATATAAAGAAACCCTGTCTCAAAGAAAGAAAAAAACAAACAAGCCGGGCGGTGGTGGCACATGCCTTTAATCCCAGCACTCAGGAGGCAGAGGCAGGCGGATCTCTGTGAGTTCGAGGCCAGCCTGGTTTACGAGAGCTAATTCCAGGGCAGGCAATAAATAAGCAGCATAGAGAAACCCTGTCTTGAAAAACCAAAAAGAAAAAACAAACAGTGGTTAAGGGAGGGCCCTAAGCCCCTGTTATGTGGGGGGATCCCTGTGCCCCACCTTCCCTTCTTCAGCTTGTCTCCTAAAGACCCCACCCCAGGCAGGCTGGCTCTCTTCACTTAACCCCCTGATTGTGTCTGTTGCAGGCTGGCTCAACTACCCCCTAGAGGTGATAGGCTTCTGGCGTCGCTTGGAGGACCTAATCCAGGGCCTGACGGGTGAGAAGCCACGGGCGGACGACATGAAGTGGGCCCAGAAGATCAAGTAGCATGTCCAGCTGCCTGGTCGCCAACCTTCCCCAGCCTGAACTGAAGCCATCTGCCAAATTTCAGCCTCTTTGAGCTGCCCTTCCAGTGAAGAGGAGTCCCCTGGGCTGGGCCCAGGCACCCCTAGCCCACCCCCAGTGACACAGAATACTTGAGCCACCGAGTTTTCATTTCCTCATCTTTTCTTTCCTTGGGCCTTCCTGGGCCATTGAGCTGCTCCAGGGCCAAGCCTGACTGCAGAAGGGGAGCCCCGTCCTGCTGGCCAGCCCCGCCCTGCACACCTGCCCTGCACGCCTGCCCCCTGCCGTGGCCCTCACCGGTATAGGGGTCACTGACTCACTTGGTCTATCCCCAGTGATCCAGAGAGTCCCCAGGACATTTAAATGTCCCTGCATCATGGTCCTCCCTCAGCCTTGCAAACTGACTCCAGAGGCCTAAGTGGGCAGACCACCCCAGCTGCCATGCAAGAGAGGCAGAGCTGGGCAGTGGTCAAAGGGCAGCTGGCAGGGAGAGGCCAGAATCTCCTGCACCCACCCGTATGGGTGTCCCCTTTACCCCCCAGTTCTTCTGTCCACGTGTCCACCCACATCTGAGGTCTTCAGTATGAAGACATCTTACAGGGCACAGCTGTTGTGAAGGGCTTGGTCATTTGGGGGGGGGACCCTGTCCCCTATGGCCAGTGTGTCAGAGGAGGAAGGAAGATTAGGGCTTTTTTATTTTGGGGTTTTTTTTTTTTTTAAAGGTGCTTGCTTGTCAATGTAAATAATAGAACGCCTTAATACCTTTCTGTAACATGGAGTAATATTTTAATGTCATGTTTTGGATGTATATAATATATTTATAACAAAGGAAGAGTCTCCTTAACCCTGGCTGCTTCGTGATGTTTCCAGATGGCTGCATAGAGGGGCTTAGCTCTGACACAGTGATGTTTGGTTTAGATTTCTGTGTTTTTTGTGGTTTGCCTGCATGTATGTATGTGTACCACATGTGTGCCTGGTGCCCACAGAGATCACAAGAGGACATTGGATTCCTGGAACTGGAGTTCTGATAGTCGGGAAACAAGTGGTGCTGGGAACTGAACCAGTTCCTCTTGATGCTCCAGTCCTAAATCTCTGTGTTTTGAGGTAATGTGTCATACACTCAAGGTGACCTCACACTTCTTACACAACCAAGGTGGCCTTGAATTCCTGATCTCCCTACCCTCACCTCACAAGTGCTGGGGCTACAGGTGTGTGCCACCATGCACAAGGTCGTGCTAGAGCAGTGCTGGCTAGCCCATCCCAGACTCCTTTAGGGGTCATTACCACCTGATGTATGTCTTGACTCTGGCCTGGACTCAGACCAGCGAGGACTGGACATTCATGGTGGGAACTGACCTAGAAAAAGAGGCAATAAATGCAAAGGAACACAGTACAACAGTTTCTTTATTTTATTATTTATTTATTTGTGTGTGTGTGTGTGTGTGTGTGTGTGTTTTGTTTTGTTTTGTTTTTTTAAGGTGGGGTTTCTCTGTGTAACAACCCCGACTGTCCTGGAACTCTTTGTAGACCAAGCTGACCTCAGACCCACAGAGATCCTCTTGCCTCTGCCTCCCGGGTACTGGGATTAAAGGTGTGTGCACCACCACTATCACCTTGCTTTACTATTTTATTTTTAATTTTTATTAGCAGGGTCTCACTGTGAAGACCTGGATGTTCTGGAGCTTGCTGTGTAGACCAGGCTGGTGCTCACAGGGATCCGCCCGTCTCTGCCTCCTAAGTGCTAGGATCAGAGGCTTGTGCCGGTCTGCTCCGCTCTCAGCAATGTTTCATGTGATCATCTGAAAAGGAACTAGCTGGAGCTGCCTTGGAGAAGCAGAGTGGAGGCTGCTGGGGAAGGAGGCCGTGAGCAGAGCTGGAGGAGGGGCAGAGACAGCCAAGGCTGAACGGCAAAGGCCTCTGGGACAGGAGTGTATATCTAGTCAAGCTGTTCTGTGACTTCAGGCATGATGGTCCAAGCCTGTAACTTCAGACTTTAGGATGTGGAGGCAGGCAGATTAGAGGTGCAAGATCATCTTTGGCTACATAGCAAGTTTGATACCAACCTGGCCTTTATAAGAACCTGTCTTTTAAAAAAAAATCCCTAGGGTAATTTTTGCAATATTAACAAAGGAGACGAAAAGGGAGGCCTGTTGACACAAAATGACAATATTCTGAAAAACAGCAGTTGTGTGAGTGTATGCACACATGTAAAGGTGCACCAGGAGACCAGAAGTGGGCGCCAAATGTCCACTAGTCCTTTGAGGTAGGGTATTTCCTGAATCTGGGACTTGTGTTCTTTGCTGGGCTATATCCCAAGAGGCCCCAACAATCCTCTTGTGTGTCTTCCTGCTCTCAGACCTGGGGTTACAGGCATGCGTGGGCCACCCAGCTTGTTAATGGGTGCCACACATCAGTTCTGCCTAATGACTGCTCTCTATGAGTGATTTTTTTTGGGGGGGGTGGGGAGTATTGAGACAGGGTTTCTCTGTAGCTTTGAGACCTGTCCTGAAACTCGCTCTGTACACCTGGCTGGTCTTGAACAGAGGCACCTTGAACAGAGATCCACCTGCCTCTGCCTCCCCAGTGCTAGGATTAAAGACGTGCGCCAACTCAGTGAGTGATTTTTAGCTGCTGAGCCACCTCTGTACCCCAGCATTTATTTGTCAGATGTGACCCATCTCTCCATTGTCCCTAAAGTTTGCCCACATTGGCAACTACACAGGAAGGGGTATTAGCATGTATCTGTGCATGAGTGATAGTAAATGAGCCCTCGCTGGCCGCGTGAACCTGACTGGCTGTTCTAGAGGCCCAGCGGGAGGATTTGAAGCTCTGGACAAAAGGAGTTCAAGGTTAGCCTGGTCATTCATCATTTGTCCAAAAGTGAAAAGCGGCTGGAAATACGCTCAGTTGAAATGAAATCGTAGGTGCCTTGGTGGTGGGTGGAGGAAAACCTGGATTTAGGTGGCTTGTGCTGCCATCTGGCGGCAGAGCCGGGTTGGTGACGTTCAGGGCAAGCATGCAGGGATCTGGGTATGTGCTTCTTCCCACCTAGAACTCCCACCACCTTCGATGAAATCCGAACTTCCAAGACCTCCTTTAGGATGGTGAAGACCATGAGCTGTAGGAAGGCTAGCACGACCAGCTAACCATGGCCAAGGGCCCATCCAGCCCACCTGGTTTTCTAAGGCTCCAGAGTATTCCTTAAATGACAGCAGTGGCGGGGTATATTTCACAACTGACCATGGTGAACTGCAGCTGTCACCCATTCCTTACCACTCCCTCCCAGCTTCAAGTGGGTGCGTGCAGCAGAGACCAGACAGCCTGCGACGCCTACGCTACTGTGGATCTTTTCAGAAAAGGCTCTGAACCCTCGTGTAACCTAAGATTAGGGTTTCTCAAGCCCTCGGTTTCTTTCCCCAAAGCACACATGCCCAGGGTGGTGTGGATGTGAGGATTGGTTTTTTGTTTTGTTTTGTTTTGTTTTATTTGAGGCAGTGTTTCTCTGCGTTGCTCTGGCTATCCTGGAACTCACTCTGTAGACCAAGATGGCCTCAAACTCAGATCCACCTGTTTCTGCCTCCCAAGTGTTGAGACGAAAGGCATGCACCACCACTGCCCATCTTGGTTTTGTTTGTTTTGAAACGGTCTGCAGCCCGGACTGGCGTGGCCTCAAATTCAGGGAAAGCTGCCTGACTCTGCAGAGTGCTGGGGTTAAAGGTGTGTACCACCACACCTGGCCACTGTGTGTTTTGGGCGGGGAGGGGGGCGGGTGACTGCAGTGCCCAGTGTAGGTGCTGGAAACCAAATTTTGATGCTCTGAAAGCAAGGCTGTCACTTTGGTTTTTGTTTGCTTGCTTGTTTGTTTAAAGGCCATCACTTTGACAAGACTTTGGAGTCTGGTATATGGGCACAGAAGTCTGCCTACTCCCCCCCCACAAGGAAATCATTACAAATGAACAACTTGCCAGTCAATAATAGCACACGCCTTTAATCCCAGCACTTGAGAGACGGCAGCAGGCAAATATTCAAGTTCAAGGTGAGCCTGGTCAACAGAGTGAGTTCCTAGGACAGCTAGGGCTACCTAGAGAAACCCTGTCTCGAACAAAAACAACAAAACAACCAACTGATCTCTCTCTTCCTTCCCTTTTCTCATAGAGCATGTTTTAGAGACTATTACGTTTGGTGATCGGAAAGGTTTCTTCTGTTTAGAGCTGTGTAATATTTCAGTTTTAGAAAGGACTGACCGTGGGGACTGGGGAGGTGGCTCAGCAGTTAAAAACACTGGCTGCTCTTCTTGAAGAGCTGTGATTCCCTGCACCACAGGATGCCTCACAATCGTCTGCAACTCCAGTCCCAGGAAATCTCTCTGCAGGCCAGGCTGGCCTCGAACTCACAGAGATCCATTTGCCTCTGTCTCTCATGTGCTGGAATTAAAAGTGTGCCGCCACCACCTGAACATGGCGGACTGACTGGCCAGCAAGCCCCAGGGATGCCCCTCTTTCTGTCCCCCAGCACTAGAAGTATAGGATGCTGGCTTTGTGCATGGGTGCTGGGGATCATCCTCACTCAGGTCCTTGTGTTTGCACAGCAAGCCAAGCACTTTCTGAACTGAGCCGTCTCCCCAGATCCCTCCTCCATTCTTCAGATCCGGCTGTCCTGGGATGAGATCATTTTCAGGCCCAGGAAGTACAAATATTCCGGTGCAGCAAAGAACCTTGCCTTTGCTCCTGAGTGCCAGGGACATGCGGGATCAGTTCCCAGGAAAAAGGTCAAGGGTGTTTGTGCTTTCCATTTTAATTGCTCTCAGCAAAAAGTCCTCCTCCTGGGCTATGCCATGTCTCAGCTACCTGTTTCCCCACAGCCCTGCCAGCTCAGGGTGTTATCAGATGCTCGGTTCTCTGCCCATCTGATAGGTGCTCCAATTTGCATTTCCCCTACTGTATTTCTCTGAATCTGGTATGTCCTGAGTCCTAAGAGATGTCCTGATTCCCAGATGTTCTATCCAGTGTAAAATACTCATTTCAGAGTCCCAGAAATAGATACACCAGCCTCTGAATTTATGAAGTGTTCGAATTCCGTGTGGCCGTTTCTGATTTTCTAGAAGACAGTGCAGCAGCAGTGTGGTGATGGTTAATCCTCTGGGCATTCCTTGAGAAAGTCTTACTTCGTCGCTACATAGCCCAGGCTGGACTGGAATGCACTCTGTAAGTCAAGTTAGCCTCAGACTCACCGTGATCTTCCTGAATCAGCCTCCTGAGTGTTGGGGTTACAGATGTGAATCACGACACCCTGTCTAATGGTCAACTTGATCACATCCTGGAAACAAGATTGTCACATACCTCCTTGATTGTCAAATTGATCACATCCTGGAAACACGATTGTCTGTCATATGCCTCCTTGACTGTCAAATTGATTATATCCTGGAAGCACACCAGATATTAGTAAAGTGCACTTCAGGTGTGTCTGTGAGAGAGTTTGTCGGGATGACTAGCCAACGGATGCCACCCTGAATACAGACAGTAGCACCATCCCGTGGGCTGCAGCCCGAGTGGAACAGAAGAGGGGAGGGAGAAAACTTGCAGTGAGACCAGGATGCCGCCTGAGTTTGGGGTTGCGCGTGAGCCATGCATTCTGCCGTGAATTCAAGACCAACGTGGGCTATACAGCAAGGTGAGAGAGAGAAATAGACATAGGGACATAGAAGGAGGCGAAGAGAGAGACCAGCCCAGGCTACATAGCAAGGAGAGATGCGGGAGGGGAGGGAATAGGAACTGGGAGAGAGGGAAGAGAGAGGAGGGGGCTTGGGGTTCAGGTCACAGCTCTGCTGCTTACAGGCTGTGGCTCGGGTCTCAGTCACTCTGTGACAGCTTGAGGGGACGTCCTCTCCGTTCCACCACAGCCAGCCCTGGTGTGGCCCAGGATGGCCTCACACTTGTGATCCTCTGACCCCTGTCTCTTCAGTGTATGCTCCTGGAACACACAACCACACCAGCTCACTTTCTACTTACTTACCTCTCTCAATGTGCTGCAAGGGCAGTCTCCCATCCTGTGCTCAAACTGACTTTTTCTCTCCTCCTTCCTTCCTTCCTTCCTTCCTTCTTTCCTTCCTTCCTTTCTTTCTTTCCTTTTTATATTTGTTTTATGAGTGTTCTGCCTGCACATCTGTCTGACCATGTGCATATCCAATGCCCACAGAGGCCTTAAGAGGACATCGAAGCCCCTGGAAGCAGAGTTACAGACCATGTGGGTGTTGGGAAGTGAACCAGGGTCCCCTGGAAAAGTAGCCAATGCTCTTAAGTGCCAAACCTTCTCTCCAGCCCTTCCTTCCTTCTTCTTCTTTCTCCCTCTCTCTTCTCCCCTCCCCCCACCACTCTCTCCTCTCTCTCCTCT